GTATCGCCTAACATCTGTGCTAGTTCACAGCATTCAATGTTCCTAAAATTTAACTAGATGTTGGGGACAGATGAAATATTGCTCCAACCCTGCAAAAGTTCATCTGAGGTTTAAACCCTACTCAAATTTAAGGTGACTGGTGGGGCCTGTACAACTTACACTTTGAACCATTAGCACTTTTGTATCTCTTCTACCACAGGTTTGGGCCTGATTCCACAGAGACAGAAAGCATCCTGGTTTCCCTGGAAAACTAGCAAAGAAAATTGCTCAGTCCTGTCAACAATATCCAAATCATAATTGTATTATTCTTGCTTGGTCTTCATAATTTGAGAGGACATTTTGTCCTTGATATTTGCCAGTCTTGGCAACAAAGGAGCCAGGAGAATTGGAAGTGGATATGAATCTTCCACACCTGCAAGGATTGAAGCTTATTTTGCTTTGAATTTACTGGCTCAAGATATCTTATTAGTACATTGTTATTTTGTTAACACTTTAGAAGTAAGAAGTAAAGGACATGTTTTTGAAAGCATATGCGTTCAAGTTCTTAATGTCTTACTTCAAGTTAAAAAGAAAGTTGATATTTATCTAGAGAAATCCTTGGTTTTTAAAACTCATATTCTACAGTAACTGTGCTTTACACCGCAAGCATAAACTATTGGGTCAAAAACGATTATATATAAATGGCTCTGATTAAGAGTGGAACCGGGTAAAGCTAAATAAGGGTGGGGAAAGCATAGCTAAAATCTGCTATTCCTACCAGCTGTTCATTTAAAGAAATCTAGACTGACGCTTTGAAAAGATAAATATATTTATATAGAAGAACAGACTGTCCTTAAACTAAATGTGTATTTTGGCTAGCTTACATAAACATCACCTGTTAACTTAGCTGATAATGATTCCAAAGGACAACAACAATCTAAACCCAAAGGGCTTAATCATATTCTACCTATCCAAAAAATAAGTTGAAGTAGTTTTGTAAAATGTATGGAGGGGAGATACATTCTTGTATGTCATTCAGAGAAATGCAAAAAATGCAGAGACAATCTTCTTATGCAGAGTCACAGACAGTATCATAGGATCCACCTTCAATTTATATCAATGGCATCCTATGCTTCACTACAACTTCCCAACAACCTTCTGAGAAAAGTTAGAAAGACTACGATTTCTCAATGATTCCACTTAAAATGGGTAATTTTCTGTACCAAAGAGAATATGTGCAATAGGTTACTGGATGGTGGAAAGGAAAAAGAAATGGAGAGAAGGAGGGATCAACTATTCCGCAGATCTGCAGGGCCAAACAAATTATATTGAACACATAGTATACAGCCCCCAATTACTTTTTATTTACTTCAAAGTAAACAGATGAGGACTTGGAATAAAAGGGAAAACATTGGTGGGCTTTGGAATTCAAGATGAGTTGGACTTAGTTTGTGTGTGGCTATGTAAAGATTCTAGGCTAACCTTTTCCGGACCGAGTGCCCAAAGCATGTGCCCGAACCCCCAAATGCAATGCATGTGTGGCCTCCGCATATGCCCCTGCCCCCCACATTCCTCCCACATGTCCCACCCCATGCATGCACGCATTGCCCCATGTGCGCCGTGCCCACGCATGCGTGCATGGTCCCCCACATGTACTGCACCCTCCGTGCATGCACGGCAGACCCCAAAGACCACCTGGCTGGCGGGAGGCACACGCACATGCGCAGCGGAGCTGAACTGGGGCGATGGCTTGCGTGCCCACAGAGAGAGCGCTGCATGCCACCTCTGGCACATGTGCCATGGGTTCGCCATCATGGCTCTAGGTTGATTCCTCTTTTGACTCCACCTCAGGGGTGAAATGCTCCCGGTTCAGACTGGATTGCCCGATCCGGTAGCAATGGCGGCGGGTGGTCGGAGAACCGGTAGCAAAAATTCCTGCACCCCCCCCCCACCATGCCCAGCTGAGCTGCACGATCATCAGAGGCTTTTCAAAGCATTTTTTTCTGCAACCTCTTGGCCGAAGAGGTGGTAAAAAAAATGCTTTGAAAAGTCTCTGAGATCCCAGCTGAGTTCCCTGATCAGCAGAGAGGCATTTTTTAAAGAGCCTCTCTGACAATCCCAACTGAGTTCCCTGATCGGCAGAGAGGCATTTTTAAAAAAGCCTCTCTGAGGATCCCAGCTGAGTTCCTGATCGGCAGAGAGGCTTTTCAAAGCATTAGAAAAAATGCTTTGAAAAGTTTTTTTTAAAAAAAGTTGGACATGCCCACCCAGTCACATTACCCCCCACCAAGCCACGTTCATAGAACCGGTAGTAACAGGTTTTACATTTCACCCTGCTCCACCCCCAGATTCTGCCACTCCTCCTACACATAGATTACTCAGTAAAAAAAAATCCAAAATCTTTTCTATTTTCTTTTTTTCCCCTCTGGTTTTCCGATTTCGACTACAAACAAAACTTCAATCCTAATGGAGAAAATCCTTCCTTTAACTGCCATGCAAGAAAAATGGCTAGAAAATGATTTATTTATATTTTTAATTTAAAAGATTTATAAAGATGACCCTCTCACAACTTGTGACTCAAGGCAGTGTAAAAAAAACCAACAAACAAAAAAGAATAAATACAATGCAAAAAAATCTCAAACCCAAAACATGTAATTGAGGCTGTTGGTAAAAATATGCACATGTACCATAGAAAGGGCTCAAGTGTGACCTTGGCTAATGATCAGGAGAAAAGCCAGGTCTTTACACTCAAGAGAAGGTCAATAGGATTGCTATCTCCAAACATATTAAGGGTAAATTTCCTATACTGTATGTTAAAGTTTGCTAATGTATTGCCCTTGGGTGCCAAGATTCTTGCAATATCTGTTTGGGTTTTGTGGATACCCAACTTAACTTTTTAATAATGATTAACAATTTATAAAATCTGCCAAATCCCACAAATTGTTGGCCTTCTTCCATACATTCTTGTTTGGTTTCAGGTGAGAATGTGCTATCATGAGATTATTACAACATTACAAGATCTCAACCAATTGCAGGGAAAAATTATGAAGATAGCCAAATGAGCAAGGGTGTCTATTGTCCATAAAAGTTATACAACATTGCCATATTTGTTTTTTTTCCCAATTAAAGATCAGAGGTTTACTCATATATCTCTTTCTTCTGGAGGAAGAAAGAGATAAGGTACTATAGGTTGACCCAAATACTATGTGGAATCTTTTAAGTAAAATAAGGTTATTCAAGCCCAAGATATTTTTTTGCTTGATACAAAGGACAACTGGTTTGAGCAACAGGCAATTGTAAATGCTTAGATTCTTCCTAATTTTTCCTTGAACTCTATTATTTTAATGGGTTATGGATGTTTATATTATCTTCTATCTATTGTTCATCACCCAGAATTATGTATTTAAGACAGACAGCTATATAATTTTTTAAACAAATAAATGTATTTAAATCACACATGCTCATGTTAATAAGTTAAATAGTGGAGACAAGATTAAAACATTTGTACCAGAAAATAAATATTGCCATTGCATTTTTGTGCTACAATTTATTGAAGTAGGGATAGTCTACCTACTCAGCATGGGAAATCTGATTTTTGGGGGTAAATGTGGAAGTTACTCATGGACATTTCTTCAAAGTTCACTAATTTTGTTTCATTTTTAATCTCATATCATGTGAATCGTGGCCTGATTCACAAGTAAAACTGTATCATAGTTTAGTATTAAGTTAAATATAAGTAGTTCAAACATTAGATTCACATGTTCACTTTTCCTCTAGTTTCCCAATATGTCTGAAAAGAAAAAGTCAAGGATTCAGCTTCCATTTGAGATTAAATAGTATAGTTTTGTGACAGATTTAGCTGTGTATTTGAACAGGTGGCAAACTATAATTAATCTTAATTATGATGAAACTTTTGATCAGTACAAGATTGGTCCAAAGGTTCAAATTCAAGTTTGCCTTAAATTAATTTTTATCATGATAATCTACAAATAAAGTAAAATGTTTACTAATGCATCTGAATCAAACCAGTATTTTAGTCTAATAAAAATATATTGTTATTAGTACAGGTAGTTCTCAATTTACGATCATAATTGAACCCAAAAGTTATGTTGCTAAGTCAAACGTTTAAGTGAGTTTTGCCCTACTTTATGACCTTTCTTGCCACAGTTATTAAGTGAATCACTGCAGTTCTCAAGTTAGTAACATGGTTGTTAAGTGAATCTGGCTTCCCCATTGTCTGTGCTTGTCAGAAGATGACGCTGGGACATGCAACTGTTATAAATATGAACCAACTGCAAAACATCCAAATTTTGATCACATGACCAAAAGGATGATGCAACGGTCGTAAGTGTAAAATTGTCGTTTAAGTCACTTTTTTCAGTGCTTTTGCAACTTTGAATAGTCACTAAATGAACTTGTGTAAATCGAGGACTATCTATACAGAATATCTTTTTTTTTTTTTTTTTACAAACCAAGTAACTTATAAACAAATTAGGGATACAAAGGGACTGGGAAAAAGAAATTGTTGGTTTTGTTGATTACAAGCATTGAATAAAATATAATACATAATGGCTCAATTATTTCATTTTTAAATGTTACTGCTGTCTTTTATTTGCTTGTATGTTTGGATAATTTGGCCTAAAATTAATAGTGCGATTATCTCATTCCAGAGATAATTTACATTATTTTCAATTTGGAATAAAAATCCCTTATAGTAATATTCCAAGAGCTTGAAAAGTAGCACTTGGTTAGAATTTGACTACACCACACTGAATTTTAAAGAGAATTTTGTCACCAAAGACAATGGGAAAAGATTTCTTCTTTAATTAAAGTTTCTAGAATGAACAACAATTAACTGAATATTTAGATGCTTCCAGCATTAATACCTTGTTTGCATTATTAATTCTGCTTTTACTTTAATGCACCCTTAAAGCATAAAGTTAGATTATTTCTAAATTGACAAGCTAGCAAAGTTCACAAGATACAAATAGAGCCCTAGCTACAATGTAACCTGGACTTACCTTTTCATTCCATTTGTTGAACGATGTTTCCTTTTTATCTGAGAACATCTGCATTCTGAAACAACTTTCTGACTTATCTTTTTTCAAACTATCACCAACTCTGAGGACATTATAAGGAGCTTCTTTCCTGCATATTGGATCAGTGAGTGTAAAAGTCTTTAATTCCCCTTCCAAAGAACCAACATGTTGCTGAACTTCTAGGATCACTTGTTCAACTTCTTCTAATCTTGGTTTATGTTGGTCATCATTCTTCGCCATCTCAGAGAACTTCTTTTTAACGTGTGTGCATACCAGCTTCATATCAGACATCATTAACTTTTTTGCTGTGGCAGCCTTGCCAATTTCTTCCATTTTCCTTTAAGAGTTCAATATTCCTTTCCATAGATCAGATTTCTTGGGAAGCACAATCTAACCTCTGGAGAACGTTGTCAGCAATGCATAAATTTCCTGATTGAAGGAAGCCGCCTTCAGGTCCAACACACAACTATTTTCAGGAGAGCAGAAATTTTTTTGCTTGATAAAGACAGTAGAAAAAGGTCCCTCTTCATGAGACATGTTGATTCTGTAAAGCGTTAGGATCAAAAAATTTGGCCAAGGATTTTATCACTGATGAAGAAGACTTCTTTCTGCCGGTGGTAGACATTATATCTATTTACATCAAGGCATAGAAACGAAAACAACAGCCTCCAGAAGCTTTCTAAAAGACAGAGACCCAATGTAATAGATCAAGTTCAATCTATTAAAAGAGGATGCCATGACTTGGACAGAGAATCTGAGTTCTTATGAAAAACGCCTATTTTATATTTTCCCGAGAAAGTATTACATCCTAACCTAAGCGCACTTGCAGTCAGTGGCCATCAATTCTTGGAGAAGCCAGAAGAACTATTTGTACTTGTGGAATCCGACTTCACAAAGGCTGTTAGACATCCGAGAAGGGAAGGACACTTTAGTAACTATTTATGACCAATATGCGCCTACTATCCAGCTTGATCAGCGATATGAGCCAAATGAGCACCCCTATAAGGGGGGAAGCTAAATTTGGGTGCTTGACATTTTAACAGCTTAATACTAATTGTTTCAAGTGCCAGCTGCTTTACAAAAAAATCGTTGGCACGCAGAGAATTTATTTCAAAGCATGTTGTAACACAAATAGTTCCTAAAATTTAGAAACTGCATACAAGCTAAACAAGAGATCCCTTTCTCCACACACAGCTATTTATTCTTTTACTTATTTTATAGCCTGCCTGTTCAAGGCATCTAACGAAACAGTAACTGTACAATTGAATTGTATCACATCCAGTAGGTCCTGGTTATGACAAATATTATGAGTAAATGCCAGTCATAATAATAACTATTAGAAAAATTGATAGCTGCTGTTTGATTTTTCTTCTGCAATATGCAACTGACAATCTTGTATATCAGTTTTAAAAATGTTTGTATGTCCTACAGATATAAAAACTTAGAAATGTTATAATTAGACTCCAGTCCAAAACACTTGGACAAGGGATTTCAATCCCTTGAAATCTATATACTGCTGTTATTTCAATTTCCACACTGATTAGGAGAGTCATCTGATATGTAATAGTTATTATATGTTGGCCTGGGGCTCCATTAAACAGTAAACAGATTAACAGAGTTGGAAGGGACCTCGCAGGTCATCTAGTCCAACCCCCTGGCCCAAGCAGGAGACCCTACATTTGCTTCTACCTAGGATCAAACTCACGACCTCCTGATTGTGAGGCAAGAGCTCCACCTCTAGGCCACCAGGTCTTGTTGAGGGAAGTGTCACACTGGAGGTGGTTGATAGATTAACAACAAATCCTTCCCCCCCCCACCACCTCCCCACTACTCATCTGCTTCTTCCCTCCCCATCTTTTAGTTATAGTTGATAATTTGTATTTTTAACAATATTTTATTCTTATTATATACATGTTTTTGTATAGTCTTATTCTTTTTAACATCGCAAGCCACCCAGAATCACCTCATGGTGAGATGAGACATTTTTTAAAAAAGTAAAATAAAATAAATAAATAAATAAGTATACATTTCTTATTATGGATATGGAATTTACACACATAGACCCATAAATATGTGACTCATTACAGGTAGTCCTTGATTTGCGAACACAATTGAGCCAAAATTTTCTCTGGCTAAGTGAGATAGTTGTTAAGTGAGTTTTGCCTCATTTTAACAACTTTTCTTGCTACAGTTGTTAAGTGAAACTCTACAGTTGTTAAGTCAGTAACATACAGTAGTTATTAAGCGAATCTGGCTTTCCCATTGACTTTGCTTGTGACAAGGTCTCAAAAAGGGATCACATGATCCCAGGACACTGCAACATAAATATGAGTCAGCTGCAAAATGTCTGACTTTTGATCACGTGACCATGGGGATGCTGCAATGGTTGTAAGTGTGAAAAACAGTCATAACTCACTTTTTTTCATTGCTGCTGTAACTTCAAACGGTCACTAAATGAACTGTTGTAAGTTTAGGACTAGCTGTAAAAGTAGAAGACAATTATCTTATAATTTCAAAACAGATCTAATTTGATTGAAAAGTGATAACAGTTATTTATCATTAGTTAATTTTGGAAAAGCCCCAAATGTGGACTTTTCTGAAACTTTCACAAAATTGCAAGGTTGGAGCTCTTCATACTTTTCTTTGTTCTTAGGTAAGAAGAGCCAGAACTTTGAACGGAGCATCTAATGCCCTTCCAGATGTCTGAAACAACTGGTGAGAGATGTCAAAAACACAATATAAAATCAAGAGTCTTTGGGGAAAAATAAAAGAAAAAGTAAAGTAAAAGTACAAAATTTAAAGTCTTGGTAGGTTATAAATAAAAAAAAAACATACTTCTCATTGTCAACTTCAGACAAACGTATTTCAAGGTCTTATCAAGGACATAAGATTGAACATAATTTCAGCTGAAATGCCAGAATTAACCTAAATAGGTACATTGTTTTTTTCCCCCTATGTGATGGTCTGTTCCAACCTGTATTGAAACAATTGTTAGGAAATCAAGTGAAACCATGGTATCAAAACTTGGATCTGCTATAGTTTTTATAGGCGTATGCTAGAAAGGAAACATTTCATGGCTGAATGTACACAACATTGGCAACAGGGACTATTTGTGTGTGAATATAACTGCCAAATGTAGCCATATAAAAATCACAGTGTGCCTTTTTAAAATTTTTTTGATTTATATGCCGCCCTTCTCTGGAGACTCAGGGCGGCTTACAAGGCGTTAAGCAATAGCCTTCATACTTTTGTATATTTTATACAAAGTCAGCTTATTGCCCCCACAAACCGGGTCCTCATTTTACCTACCTTAGAAAGGATGGAAGGCTGAGTCAACCTTGAGCCTGGTGAGAATTGAACTCGCAGTAATTGCAGGCAGCTGGAAGCTAAATACTACCTTTAATAGTAGCATTAGTCTGCTGCACCACTCAGGCTCCTAATGAAAACAGAATCTCTTTTGACAGTAAATTGATGATACCAAAGTTAATAATTTTGGAAATGACCTTTCATACCTCATTTTTTATTTATTTGCTGGTCTTTCCACCAATTTCCACTATGAACAGCCATTCTAAAATGGAATGCAGCTAATCCCCAATTACCGACCACACATTCAGTGACTGTTTAAAGTTATGATGACAACACTGAAAAATGAAACTTATGACTGCTCCTCAGAATTACAGCCATTGCAATATTGTCCGCTGTCAAATAATCACCAGTTACGACTTTCACAGCCATTTTCTAACAATGAAAATCAATGGGGAAGCCAGCAGCAAGTCACAAGTTGTGGTCATATGATGTCATGCTTAATAACCTCATCACTTGGCCACCAAGTTGTTGGTCCCCATTGCAGTTGGTAAGTGACGGCTAATTGCAGTTATATACTAGTCTCAGGAACAAATGCGTTGCAAACTTTTCAGGGCAAAAGTGATAGAGTTTTGTTTATAAAATAGAGCAATGGTCATTTTTTTAAATTTTATTTCCAAGTGCAATTACATTCTAACTTTTATTTCAAAGGAAGCATTTGAGGCAGTTTACTATGTAATTTGAAAAAAAAAACACTTATATGCTATAATCATAATCCTGGTCAGGTCTTCCCTTCAAAACTGCTCGTTCTGTTTTCTATTTTTTTTTCCGAAATATGTAAAAAGTTAGCAAGCATTTCTTACATCAGCAGTCTGATCTTTCAATTTTTTTGTCCATTTTGTAGCAATAAGAAACAAGAGATCTCAAGCCCTATGTTATAACTACACTGCATTTACAAGATTGACAACTTACTGAATCAGTACCGGTTCAAATCGTCATGCATAGTTGTTTTTTTAAAAATAAAGTTAAAAAAAAACCCCAACCCTATTCCTTAGTGTTGTATAAAAAACGTAGCCCAACCATGACCTGAAAAATTTAATACACAAATTCAGTTTAGCAGCTGAACTGTTACTGCCAGCTAAAATTATACTGTCAGCTAAATCCTTTTGACGCGTGGGCATTTGCAGCAAAGCACCAGGACTAGTGTTTGTACTTTCTTCTAAACCAGGGGTGTCAAACTCAATTTCATTGAGGGCCACATCAGGGTTATGTTGACCTCAGGGGGTTGGGGTGAATGTGACCAGAGTGGGTGTGGCTTGCTCGATGTCACTCATGTCGGGGGCGCCTGAACTCTGTTTCCAGCTGCAACGGCCTCCTGCAATGCTCTGCCAACGAAAACGGAGCTCCTGGCAGAGGGTTGTAGGAGGCTATCACAACCAGAAACAGAGCTTGGGAGCCTGTTTTTGCTGGTAGAGGCACTGCAGGCTGGTCACTCACTATTTCCAGGGTGACCCCATGGGCCAGATCTAAGCACCCTACAGGCCGGATCCAGCCCGCGGGCCTTGAGTTTGACACCCCTGTTCTAAATAATGTAATTCTATAAAACCTCTCTGGTTTTGCTCTCCGAGATATTTGTATGACTTATATAAGTGAGAAAGGGTCATTTAAAATTCTAATACAGTCACCACCATAATCATCACCATACATATAGATTTCTAAATACCTGAGACCAAAGTTGTACAGTGGATATAAGGAAGACTTAAGAATAGCCAAGAAGTTTCTAAGAAGTGCATCTATTAATGGGCAGTGGTGGACAACAGCAAAATGTGGACTCTGTCCATGAGCTTGAAGTCAAGGTGGTTATGCCCAGGTTTCCAAGTCAGGACACAACTTGAATATAGAGGCATATTTCTCTTGGTGATATAAGCATGTGATGTATAACATCTTTGGGGGAAAGAGCTTTATGATATGCTAACATTGGCATCATTGGCATTATGATATGCACATGGCATCAATTGTGATTTTTTAAACCAGGCATAAAACCAGAATCCCTAATGTGGCTATCAAAGTTTCAGCATTCTAGAAGGCCTCCAGGGACTTTAAAGGGGGGGGGGGGAGCAATTTATAGCTCACAAAGTATTAGTAATCCATTCTACAATAATTTAAATCAATTTAAGCTGCTGACATAATTCAGCTGCCTGCTTCCCCCTGCACCTGATGAGTCTGCAGCCCACACATACATTGCCTGCGCAAAACAACTGGAATCATACTGATGAAGCAAATTGATGGAGCACGCCATCAAGAACCATAGTCCCCTTCTTATATAGAACTTTAAGGAAACTGTTAAGTCTCAACACTTAGCTGAGCTCAAGTGTTTATTACAGTAATACATTCAGAATCCACTTTGTGGGTTTTACTTTGTGGAAGACAAGCTAAATAGCTGTCAGAAGACAGGCTCTACCTGAAAAGTGTAGGCCTGACTGAATGATCAAGAACCGTGAGGAGAAGAAGAAGCCTAGAAGTTGCTCATTATGAAAGATTATCTAATAGAAGA